CAAGTTCTAGGCACCCGCCTGCCTAGGCACTAGACGTTGGGCGCTAGGCCGCCTACCTAGGGGCCGCCTAGCGCTTTTTGAAACCTTGCTCAAATTTAAATGTTTTGAAATTATTTACAACATAAAATCAAATAAATATCTTTAATACACTATTGTGATGGACCTATACATGAGAAGCCTCAAGTAAATAAATGTGAGTTATTGCTCTCAAAGTTTTTAGTAAATTTATGTAAGCATAATTAAAGACATTTATAGCATATTAATTTGCATCTAAGTATTTTAAAAACATTGCTGTTATTCAGGGAACGAGGGTGGGGCACAAGTGGTTAGGGGGGCGGATGACTCAACATAATGTCCTGCCCTCCATTCCCACTGTTAATATAAATAAATAAAAAAATTTGCTATTATTCATTTATTTTAAAAATTTCTTCAGTTTTATGTATTTTATTGTACGGGCACTCTCATGATGCTCCTAATCTAAGAATCTCATAGCAAGCAATAACCCCCTGCTCTTGCCTCCAAGAAGTATACAAAATAGTACTACTTCACATATCAACTTTTTGAAAGATTCTTTTCAAGAGAACAAGATGATCTCCAAGCAAATTAGAACCAGCTTAGGAGAATGAAAAAGTAAAATTGGTTCGGTAGATTCAACAATGCTTGCCACTTTCTATCACAGCACAAAGTTCATTACATATCAAGTAAATTTTATTCCATATCAAACAAAAGAACTATGAATCTTATATTGGATTTCATTGCTAACTTTGGACACTACTCGTTATAAACAAGTTACAACTTTCTTCTATTAAACAAGTTACAACAATACCTACCACTTTAAGGAATTAAGACAAGACATTTTATGTTTGCCGTAAATAAAGCTTGGTATTAAGAAAATTAAATGTTTTGGCCAACAATGCATAGGTAACCCATGGTACAATGACCATTGCAATTGTTTGGAATATTTACTGCAAAGCATGCTTTGATTGGACAACAAACTGCTGTGTTTTATTTTGTAAAATATAAAGGTCCATCTACTCACAGTTTCATGATTATTGAACATTCTTCAAGTTTCCCAATCGAGTTAGTTTCAAATATGGACCTCATTTAAATGAAGGGCGTTCCATTTTCAAGCCACGCTTGAACCTACAAGAATGAAGAATATCTATTTGATGGAGCTCAATACAACGTATGATTTAGTCCTTCTTCACTTATTTCATTATCAAAAGAATTGCCGTTGCAAGTGATTCTTTCATAGTTTTAACTTAAGTATTTAAACATTCATCAAGTCTCTGGCAGCCATAAAAAATAGTACTCGACTTTCATGAGCACTTTTGGGTTACAGATGCAACGAACTCCACAGTACCTATCAAAAGGAACAAAAGGGGTCAACTTAAAATAACACTGACGGTATAAGGGGCTCTGGTGTTAAAACTAGGTCAAACATTGGCTTCATAAGGCAATCCAAGTCAGAAACTACCTTATATTGCACAACAAGTAGTAATACATTTTGTGTCCAAACTTTGATGTTACAATCAGGCATAACACAGTGAAGATATTTTGTTGAGCATCCAAAAAAAGAAGACAAGATTTCAATGCTCACCTTAATCTCAACCTTATCTGCACCATTCCCGACAGGAGGCAGATCACCAATAGTATCCCGCACAGTCATGGAGCGAAAGGGTGCACCTTCTGATGTACTTCTTACAGCAGAAAATTGTGAATCATCAGACAATGTGATTTTCAATTGTGGGCTTGCAAAGACATGCATTGGCTCTGGCCACTCTGGGAGAGTCTCATTTGGAGAAGCAGCCCAAATGAATGCCCTCTTCCTCGACTGGGCAACACCATAGTTTCCAGCTTCTAGCACGCCAAATCTTACCTAAAACATTAGGGGAAAAAAAAGCAAGTAAGTTGCTTGAAGTCCTTAACTTTGGAAACCCATCATTCGGTTTTTTGAAAATATTAGCACCTGATAACCCATTTCAAGGAGTGATGCAAGTGTTAAACGAAAGGTTTGACCCTTGTTGAAGGCTACAAAGTTGCGCACATTCTCCAATAAGAAAAATCTTGGCCGGAAGTAATCAGCATATGACAAAAAGCTCAATATCATCTCACATTGGACCTTACTCCAAGTGCTCTGATTAAATCGGTTCATACCAGAGAATCCCTACAGGGAAACAATTCCTAAGCAAAAGAAAGGAACAGATACAAATATGCATGCACAGGCATAGGATTAATGTATGAAGTATGTACATAAAACCATCAAATACAGAAGCATCTTACGCAGGGACCTTCTGAATAGGTTACCTGACAAGGGGGTCCCCCATTGATGAAATCTACTTGTCCTGGTAATGGTAGATTGTTCTTTTTATCCTCACTTAGCTTCAAAGCATGGTCAGCAGCCTCAGGAGTACAGATGCAGTCATCTATATCGCCACATTTTTCCATTATTGCTCTGCACCAATAACCATTTGAATTGATAGATAATAGAACAACTTGAAAGTCAAAAATAAAACCATTTGACATAGAGCAGATGAAGTTTAATAGGTATCTGATACCTTCCACTTTAAACCTAGACAATCATAAGACTCCAAAAGACAAACCAGACAAGCAAACAATAATTCAGATATTATTCAGTTCTAATGAGCAGTATTTACCTGAGAATCACATTGCAATTGTCACAGAACACATGGGCCTCTGGATGATTGAGCTTGAATGCTTCAGCAGCAGGTTCCTCATACTCAATTGCCCACTTGGTGAAACCAACCCCTGCATGTCAAGGCTGAACATTCATCAACTGAAGTACCCCAAGATACATAATGATTATTGGGACATTCTCGTGACCTGGGTGTGAAAGTCTTAGTGAACAAATAAACAGAATTGCATGTGAAGGAGAGAAGAATTATTGCTCACAATGGGGTTATTCCTATAATAACCTACTCTTTATCTAACTATTATCAAATTCTTATTGTTGCAATTTATTACTTTCTTATTGGATTCTTAATCATCAAGAGAGAGGGAGGGAGAGGGAGGGGGAGGGGGAGGGGGGGAGGGAGAGAGAGAGAGAGAGAGAGAGAGAGAGAGAGAGAGAGAG